TGCGTTAAACGATTGTCGGTTAAACTCTATTTTATCATAATTGACTGTACAAGCAGCCGGTTATGGGTCAGACAATCAATGGAACACGCTCTCAGTATTTTGATGGGCTTTGCTCTTTGAAAATGTTGTGTGCGGTCACATTTGTGGCCACATTTACCCTTTTCACGTGTCACCGGCATTGTTGCTGCTTTGAATGGTTTCTCATTGTTGGGCTCAAAAGAGAAAAAAGTAAGTAAGTAAAACTGTCAACAGCTTTTGCACTTTGCCATCATCAATATTAGCCAAAATGAAATGAATGTTGGGAATGTTGTGAATGTTGTGAATGTTAGAGCACGTCAGCTCGTATAGTAGAATAATAGTTTTACAAAATATTGATGGGTTTTCTTTTCAACAAGGTTTCCTTCACACTCTCTCCCTCTCCCTCTCCCTCTGTCTCTCTCTTTGTGTGTGTCTGTCTGCGCCCTACGCTTGACAGCCTCAATTAGAAAGTGCAGTGAAAGCAGTGAAAAAAAAACGTTTCAATCAGCAACAATTAAACAAAACCCTTTTCATGCATTCACAACTTAAGCAATATTGAATGAATATATTCATGAATGCATGAAAAATGCCGGTGAAATGCCAAAAATGTTGATCAAACGATGCGATTAGATTAGATTTAACTTTCTTTGCTGCATATTATCGATAACGATAAGCAAATGCGATTCATGCCGACATTAGTTACACACACAACCGCACAATATGCCAATTTGTATATACATACATATGTACATATGTATGTATGTATGCATCTATGTATGTTTATTTTTTATTGAGACAGCATCCGGTGCCACTTCCAGCCGATTGAGCGCTGCTCACTCAGCTGTGAGCGCAAACGAAAATTGATCAATTGAGCGAATGCCAAACCGCCCCCGGCCCGCCTCCGCTGTTCGATAGCCATGTACATAGATAAATGTAACGCTTTGAATTAATCATTAAACAATTAAGAGCACTTGCCTCGGGAAATAGGCAAAAATTACATACTTATCGATCTACGGCCGTCAAGGTCAGAGTCATTCCATTGACAGCGATTACAACTTATCGATTAAAGCCCCACACACATATGCACGCACACGCACACACACATGCGCACACTCGCACTCCCTCTTAATACGTACGCATGCTAGCAGTTCCGTTAGTTCGCCGTTCGTCTGCTGCTTCTGCCGCTGCCGCTGTCGACGCTGGCAGCTGACAGCGATTGCAACTTATCGATTGCCGCAACCCACACACATGCACGCCTACACACACACACGCATGCGCACACTCACACTCCTTCTTAATACGTACGCATGCTAGCAGTTCCGTTAATTCGCCGCTCGTCTGCTGCTTCTGCCGCTGCCGCAGTCGACGCATCATCGGCGCTGGCCGCTCGATTGAAGGGACGCGGCTTGCGCTTTTGAAAGCGCAAGCGCAGCTCTGTGCTTAGAACGCGCATCGCGCTCGCGCCAAAATTCGTTTTTTTTTTTTGTTTTGTTTTTGTTTCTTCGCTTCTTTCTCTTTTGTTTTCGGCGCACTTTGCAACACTATGCACGCGATTTGGGGCGAACGCATCAACGATTTTCAATCGATTTATATTCAATATTCACTTTGCGTTTTTGCTACATAGCAGCAACAACAACAACAACAAAAACATGGGGAGAGAGAGAGAGAGAGAGAGAAAAAAAATGCAAATCACACTACATCAATTTAGTTGACATTACAATTGATGTGACATTGAGGATCGGCCCCCTGCCCCTTGGCTGGCTGCCTGTGTCGCGTACGGCTGGATGATATCACCCCGGGGCGGGGTTCCTTTTATTTTGTATTTCTTTTACTTTTTTACTATTATTATTAATCGAATTAGTTTTCTTCTTGTTGTTGTTTTTTTTTTTTTGCGAGCGTTTTTGTGAATATTTCGCGCAAAACAAACTGAATTGACGCGACTGACTGTCCGTCTGTCTGTCTGTCTGACTGTCTGATTACTAACTGAGCCGCAGCGCGAGCGAGCGCTCGACGCCGTCGCTTTTTACAATCTAATCGCGCGGCGCAGCGCAGCGCGGCGTGGCCAATGGGCGGCCCCACGGCCCGCTGAGCAGCAGCAACAAAAACATTTGCACTTTCAATGAACTGCTCTCTATTGCCCTATGACGTGCGTGTGTGTGTGCGCGTGTGTGTGTATGCCTGTCTGTGTGACTGATGCGACGCTTTGTTGTCTCTGCTGCGGTAGCTGTCGTTGTGTCTGTTGTTTTTATACCCTATGCGCAATACGACAAAGGGTATATTGGTTGCATTACGTATTCGATTAGTTATGGCATTTGATCTTTGACCTTTCTTATCATATTGGCCAGATGTCAATTTTGAGTAGAGTTCAAATTTAGCCCGCAACTTCCATCAAATGTCAATTAAAACATAGATTGTTTCATTCAAGTTTTGAGAATGTATAACAAAACAGGGTTTGAACCAAAAGCTGGTTCAAAGATGTGCAAGCGCCTTAAAGCAATCTTTTGGTTCTAACTTCTTTTTTGTTGAACTTTTGCCCTGTTTTAAATCAATTTCCGCACTTCCTTTCCAATATTTTTTTACAAAGGCGGCATTGCCGCGTCCACGCAAGAGAGTTTTCACTGTACATATGTCGCTGTTCAACTGCTTCAGATAGTGTTGCGATTATATATATCTATCTATATTTATATGCACACACACACACACGAATACATACTTTAATGTTTTCGCAGAGACAAACAAATTCGATGGGCCACGTTCTAGGTTCTAGGATCTCTCCAAAATGAACTAAGCGGAGGAAGAAGTTTTGGAATCGTGAGATACATGCAATATTGCAAAAACACTTTTTAATTTTGCTCTGCTATTTGTTTTTTTTCTTCTTTTTTTCAAACACTTTAATGCAGCACACTTGGTAGAGAGTATTGCGCAGTCGTTGTTGTTGTTGTTTTTGTCTCTTCATTATCACACAGAAGTAAGCTGGCTTCTTATCAAATCTAAAATAGAGTACTTACATTTTGCAAGCCGCTGCGGCGGCTGCCGACGTCTCAGACTTTGCACAGGCAACAAAAAGAACGAAGAAAAGCGCGCAAAACAGTCTAAGCCAAAAGCTCGCCCAAAGCCCAAAGCCCAAAATAACAAAAGCTCCCACTAACAGTTAACTTACCCAGGCAACATGCACTGCAGCGAAAGTTAGTAAAAAAAAAAAACGGGTGGGCGGTGCTGGGGCGTGGCTAGTGATGTTGCCCATCCAGTGATAGCATTGTTAACCGATTAACGGTTAAGTGTGTTAACCGATTAACGGTAAAGTGTGTCGGTTGGCAAGGTTGTTTGAGGCAGACCCAAAAGCTGTGCTTGCTACCAATAATATAATAAAACAATAATAACGGTAATATCCCCTGTGACCTTGAACGGGTTTGGGCCCATTGTGCTGCACGGCCTGTTGGCCTGTTGGCCGTATCGCGCATTTATCTCTCAACTGATAACCGTTTCGTTGTACGATTAATTTGACATTAAAGCATGTAAATCTATTTGCTTAGGCGCGACTCGTATTTGTTAAATAATCTGGCAACGTTGGCAACGGCAGCCGAGCATGACCTTCACCCACACCCGACCAGTGTTGCCGGCTGATTGAATATTTTGCATTAGAGATGAGCACGTGCACGGACATGACCTTTCCGCCAGCCAGACACACACATAGAGCTACATACACATATGTGTATGTATACTCTTCTACGTTGTGTGTTCCCAGTTCCCAATTCGAGCCGAAATGCTTGGAAATTAATTCAAGCTTAACAAGTCTATTGAGCTTAAGTTAACGTGTGTTTTTTTTTGTTTTCGTGTCACGATGGCAAATAACGATAGGCGGGCCCCAACTCGAATGCGAATTAACAACTGAAGCTTCTCACAATTGACCCAGGTCAAAACTTGCTGTGCAGCAAATTACCGTTAGGCTGCTTAGCCGCCCAACCCAGCAACCATTTTAAAAAAGCTCATCGCAGCTGCAAGCTTCACTTCATGTAATATATCCATGCACATGCACACACACACACACATACAATGTATGTACATATGCATGTGTATACGCAAGCCTTTACCGGGAATAACAAGATATTTAACATCCATTATTTTCCAATCCATTTGCAAATGCAGACGATTCTTAGAATTAATTCTCTGGTATCCTTTTTAACGAATTCAACAGCTCGCATCACAGCAAGCGTATGCAAGACAGAGCGCGGGATAGATTAGAAAAAGAGAGAGGGAGAGAGAGAGAGAGAGGGGTAGATATGTTTAAAATAAAATGCAGCCCAAGGAGTTGGTAGAGATGTAAGCAAAGCGCGGGGTGCGGGGCGCTGCTTTGCGGATTGGCTTGTGTAAAGTGTGTACGCAAACACACACAGAGACAGACGGACGAACGTACACACCCACACACACAAACAGAGGGACGCACTCACGCACACAGACAACATTTGTTGGGCTACTTCACTTTTAACACTTTCCGAGACGCATACACTAAAAATAGACTTGTTGATAAACCAACGGTATAAACCGAGTGCACATTTTGGGCCAACGAAGACATCAATGTGTACATGCGTGTGCATGTGTGTGTGCATGTGTGTGTGTATGTGTTTGTGTATGTGTGTGTGTGGGTGGGCAAAGTCAAGTAGCAATTAAGAAACAGGATTTTGGCTTTTGTCTAACTGTTATTGTGCGCGCTTATTGTGAATCATTTTTGGGTAGGATTATGAAGCGCCTCTGCAGCATACACACACGTACATATATATATATATATATATATATATATATAACATGTACATATTAGGTTGCTGCTGCGTGTGTGTGTGTGTGTGTGTATACATATACAGTTAAGCTGATGCTGTTGCAGGTGTTGGGCAAGGCAACAACAAAATTCGAATGCGGTAATTTACGCACTTTTCCAGCACATACTGTTTCAATTATTTTCAATATTGTTTTGTTTCATTACTTACCCATCTTGTGCAAAAGGCTCATTTTGCTTTCCTTGGCTGTTGACAGCATTGATTTTGGTTTGTATTTTGCTGTTGTTGTTGCTTCTGGTGCTGCTGCTGCTGGCCAGCGGCGCGCCGTGTCGTTGCCTTCTGCAGCCGCACACCAAAATTATACACACACGCACACATACACATACGCAGAATCACAGCACATACACTTGGCAGAAGCACACACGCACACGCACACCCGCAAAGAGCAGCAAAAGTGCTCGCGTTTTACGTTACGTTCACGTTATCACAATGCGCAATTCCGCTGAGACGCCTTCTTGTTGGACATTAACATTGACATTGCGATGCAATCAACTTAATTCAGCTTCATTTAATAAATAACAAAAAAAAAATAATACAGTTTGCTGCAGCATTTAGGGCAGCAAAGCAATCGATGGCACTATCGTTAAGTTACTATCGATAAACACTGGCAAGCGCACTTGAGCCATTATTGCATTGCAGCCCTGTGGCTGAAAGAGCTGCACACACTTATCGCCCATCTACGTTCACCGTAGTGGCAACACCATCAGTCAAACACACTGCGGTCACACCATTTAGTCAAATTTCATAAAATTTGTAAATTAAGTTTATTAATCAATAAACATTAAATTATTTTATAGTTATTTGAAATGCAAGAAAAAACAAATGTTATAGTATATACACAGTATTACGCAGCGGCTAAGAATGTTGTCGCACATCGCTATTCTAAATATCGATAGGTCCGATGAAACTGATTTCCTATATCCATATAAAGTTGAACGCAATACAATAAAAATATCAAATTTGGCAATGCGATATGTGGAAACAAACAAAACAGTGCATTGAGAAAAAGGAGAATTATTGCATAACATTATATGGAGCAATTCAATCCATAAATATTTTCGCGCCCGCTTAACTCGTGTCACGACCTGTAGCTTGTGCTCATCACTTGCGAATCGGTAATCGACAAGAAATCGATACCACGATGTGTCCGACAAAAATACCATCGACTCATCGATGTCTGTGTTAAGCAGCGGGCAATACAGCACCGAAAAAAAGCCGATGCAACATTTTTTATACAAAAGTTAAAAGAAATTGTGCAGTTGCGGTGAAATTGGTCAAAGGGGCGTGCCTAAACAATTGTGAGTGCAAAGTGTTTTGTGTGCTGTGATTTATTTTGCTGTTGCAATTTCAATTGCATCGTTCAATTATTGTCCGCCCTGTGTGCGTGTGTGTGCAACATTTCAATTTTTGCATGTACGGTGTGTATGAGAGTGAGTGAGTGTGCGTGAGTATGAATCGGGTGCAAAACTGCTCCTTTGTTTGCCCAGAACGCAGCGTCGGCTCAGCTTCGTCGTTCTTGTTGTTGTTGTTGTAGTTGTAGTTGTGTCGCTAGCGGCGCCAGTGTTAAAAAGGGTGTGTGCCGGCCGAACACAACAAACAAGCCAGTTGAAAACCAGCAGCGGCTCCTTTTACATTCACATCCGTTTTGTGTTTTCTTTTTTTTTTTTTGTGCTGTGCATAAACAACGCCTAATTAATTGCACGCATTTGGCTACATAGCAAATGCAAAAAAAAAAAACAAAGCGAAACTTGAAGTAACAAGCATTAAGTGCATGACAAACGCTAGAAGAAAAAATGTCAATAAATGCATATGCAACAACAAACACGTAACGGAACCACCACCAGGAGGCCACTTGTGCTCTACCCTCCTGCTCTCAATCCAGCTCTCTCACTCTAACTGCTTGTTTTGGGTAGTGGTGGAAGAAGAAAGACAAAAAAAAATACAGTAAAACAGTAGCGTTGCCGGCGTACCGGTGCCGGTGCTGCCACCCACCCCCAACAAAGTTGCTTACACCCGCTCAACCAAACACACACACACACACACACACATGTTTGTAGCACCCTGTGCGCCATACAGAGAGAGAGACCCCCAGACGCAAACACACACGCGCACTTTCGCTCTGGCTCGCTCACTCGTTAGCTCTTCTTTGCCTGCGTTCTCTCGCAGCTGCAGCGCGGATGCTGCCGTTTGTCTCCCGCTGGCGTCTGCTCTCCTGCAGGTTGCAGTGCTCTGCACTTGTGCACTTGTTTCTGCTTCCTCTTCATATTGCTGGTCTGCTTCATTTTCAATTCCCTTTTTGCCAATGTCCGAACAGTTATGTCGCCGTCGCCGCTGCCGTTGCCGTCGCTGCCACCCAACTTCCGCCCAGTTGCGCGCAGTTTTCTTTTTCTATATTTTTCTAAATCACTTGACCCGATTACCTGGTGGCTGCACCACCGCCACCACCAGCCGCAGCAGCAGGCAGTCATTTTGTTTGCCGCTTTCTAACGAACCAGTTGAATTTGCGCACGCGTCGTCAAGTGAGCGCAACTGTGTCTCTTCTTCTTCGTATCTCGTTGCCGTTGCCGTTGTTGTTGTTGTTGTTGTTGTTGTTGTGTTTGCAAATACATTTAGCTCCAGTTCAGTGCCTTGTTGTTGTTGTTGTGAATTACTCGCCGCTGGCTGCACTTGAAATTAACCGCTAGCTGCGGCAAATAATAAAAAACAACATTTACCCAAGAAAAAAAAACAGAAAATTAAAAGAAACAATTGAATTTTGATAAAAAAAAATTGCCTGGCCAACTGTTTGGAAGGCATTTACTCAGATTGGGACTTTGTGTTTCCAGCGCTTGCACTGTTTATATGTGTATGTGTGTGTGTCTGTGTGTGTGCGTGCATGCGTGCGTGCGTGTGCGTGTAAGAAACTCGGAAATGGCAAACTTCTCTGTCGCCATAAATAAGCATGTTTTTTTTCCAGTGCATGAACTTAAAATTCAAAAAAAGAAAAGAATTATCAAAAGAGCTTAAAGAAAATGAGTTTAAATCCACTTTGAAATATGTTGACCCTTTTTTCTAAATAATTTGTGGTTTAAACAAATCCCATATTAGTTCGTTGAATATTATTTTTTATTTTGCTTTCTTTTTTATTAACTAAAAGATAGCTATGTATATAGTTTCCTCTGAAATCGTAGCATTTCAATTGGCTTGTAATTACCAAAACGTAGAAAATGATCTTTTACCAGATATCTCTGGATCTATTAGATAAACAAAGGCATCTATACAGAAATTGGATGATATATCGCTATATATATTGACATTTAAAGGGGTGGAACTGATGTCTAAGCTTTAACGTTAACACGTACAGTAGTTGCTCGATAAGTTCGAAGTTCGAACCCACAGAAATAAGAAAGGTTCCACAAAGTCGACTCATATATCAATATCGAAGGAATACTGATAAATACTTGGTCACATTTCGTTTTTAATTGGCGCATGAATCATTTGTTGATGATTATTGCCAAAAACGCAGTTATTATTTTCCATGCAGAAATCTGATTGGACTCATTCGCTATATAACAAATACATATACATATGCCATACATACATATATTTATAAAGTACGCGCATGCAAGTCGAAATTACCCATTGTACTTAGCAAGCGCACACATACGCACGCGCACATATACATACATATACAGTTGTGTATGTGATTTACGGGGCGTGGCACTTGTTTATAAAGGCGGCTTACAAGTGGCCAACATGACGAACGATTAGCACAATTTTAATGCCTGAAAAGCTCAACCGGAAAAAGGACAAGGCGAAGGGCGCAACAAAGCAGAACGCACACACAAGCACATATATATATGCACATGTGCAGGCATATGTATGCCTGTGTTTGTGTGTGTGTGCGTGAGCTTATCCGGCATCTCTGTGCCAATCGTCAATCGTAAATCGGCATTTGGCATTCTCCTCGCATCGCAGACGCAAACGCAAACGCAATTGTTGATGTTTGTTTTGTGCTTTCTCTTTTCATGCGACAAACAAGACGCGCACACACACACACACACACACATACACGTACACACGTACATATCAATGCACAGTTCGAGTGTGCAAGTCCTCAATAATTGTAGCCAAGTGCAGCAGCAGCAAAAACAACAACAACAACAACATGAGCAGGCAGACAGACGAGTCCAAGTCCAAATTGTTGTCCATTTCCATTTTCATTCTTGCCGCACTTAAAGTTTCTGTGTATGGCTTGTTGCTGAGGCTGTTGTTGTTGTTGTTGTTGCTGTTGTTGTTGTTGGTTTTGTCTGGCATGTTGTGAGTAATGCGGCTCAAGTGTGGGCGTGACAGGCAGTCATCAGCAACATCATATCACAGAACTGCTTATCAATTGATATGTGTGCGTTTGTGTGCGTCTGCGCGCGCGCGTGTGTGTGTGTGTGTGTGCGTTTGTGCGTTGCGTTCAGTGTTGACAAGCAAAAAAAAAGCTAGTTTTTGTTAAAGAAAGTTAGAGGAAAAGAGAAAAAAAAACAGCTCAATTCTATTTCTTTTTTTTTTCACATTAAAGCTTAAAATATGCACAGATTTGTTTGTGGTTTTTTTTAATTACGAGTGGCGAGTTTTTGTTGGCCGAAGCCAAGCCAAGCTTGAAATACAGTGAATACTCGCAAATTGTGACAGTTACAAATGTGATAATTTTTTTGCAAAGAAATCTAATTGCTGGAAGAGGTCCTATTTCGTATATATGATAAAGTGTATTGGAAATTTTATAATTTCTTACGGCAAATTGTGGCTTTGAGCAATTGTATATTCTCTTTGGCCTGTTCAATCTAACCTAACCTCACTTATTATAATCAAATGCTTGTAGCATTCCATAACTGCATGGAGAATTTTCATATGTGCCAAAAGCCTACGTATAACAATTTGCATTTATTTTTGTTTTCTTCTATATATATCTGATTCAAAAACCCTGTAGTTCCGATTCGCATTATGTTTTTAGTATGAAGAGAGATTTTGCCGCATTCAAAATGCATAGAAATGAATAAAGCGAGAATAAAGATGTCATTCTTATAAATTTGTAATAGGAACACAAAAAAAATAGACGTATAATTGTTTAAACAAAACTCCCGTTGGGGAAGGGAGGGCAAAAAATAAAAACACGTAATTGCCAACACTGGTTGGATGAATCATTTAGCGGCTGCAGCAACGGACGGGGGCAAGCGATAACTAAACTTAGCAATAATCATAATAATAATTATAGAATTTCATATTTGCAATTCTAGCCGCGCGAACCACAAGCCAACAAGTGAATAAATCAATTTACAACAAATAGAAAATATATATATATAAATCAAATAAACAAGCGAATTGCGCGGAACTCGTCTTCTCAAATTGGAAAAGTGAGACATCAGCCACGGTAGCTGCGATTCGAGGTGAACAATTGCAATTGCCTTGCATCGGACTACACAACACACGCACCGTCACACACACACACCACACACACACAGCTACACATACACACAATGGCC